ATAAAGGTAACCAGGTCCAGCAGGATAAGTAGTTTGATGAAGTTTTTATATTAATAAAAAACATGGTGGCAAGGTGATTAAAAAGGAAAAAGGTCAAATGGAACAACATAAGTTGGTTTATTTAAAAAGGGTTCATAGTTTGTATGTTGCTCATAAAATAGCATCATGAGTTTTGATAGGTTACATGGCACTGATGTAGGTTATTTAAAAAGGGTCAAATGTAATAGCAGTTTTGATAGGTTACATGGCACTGATGTAGTTGTAAAACGATAGGTGTCTGTGAATAATGAAATATTTATACAAGGCTAGAAGGGAAACAAAGAGGTATATAGAAAATGGGTCTAACAAAGCATGTTTATGTTTTTTCGGGAGGAAATAGTAAATAGGAATGGTCAACAGAGTATTTAAACAAAGACCTAAACTTGTGAAATAGAGATGACAATGTTGCAATACACAACACAACCGTTGCTTGAATGCAATATTTCAAACCAAACCGTATATTCATGTTATTAGACAGATTATTATGAGTATAGGGTTGAATGTATGTATATATATATATATATATAACATACATTCATTCAATAATACAACATATTGATCACGTTATCTTGATATCAGAGCGTCTTTTCTCAGCTAGGTTACAACCCTAGCTGCCGATCAGTTACAATTCACTAGAACGATCCTGACATCCTCACAGAGCAATCACACTTTTTTTTTCTTTAAGCGATCATCTTCACACACGTTCCATAATCTTCACAGAGTCTTCACAAGTCCAGAACCAATAATCTTCACAGAGACTTCACAAGTCCAGAACAATCTTACAGCACCTCAGCAGATGGCGATCATCAATCCCTTCTCCACAACCGAGAAGACTTCACACAATTCTCATAAGTTTCCTTTTACCTTAACTCCTACTAATTATGGTTTCTGGAAGATTATGATTCTGCGGTTCCTTGTTACCAACAATCTTTTTGGGTATATCGATGACACTATTTCGTGTCCCACTCAAACCCTTCCGGCTGCTGACAAGGCTGACTCTGCAGATCCTACACCAAACCCATCTTACACTGCATGGCTTGCTAATGATGCTCATGTACATATGCTTCTATTATCCACCATCTCTGAAGCATCATATCCTCATGCACAAGGAACAACAGCCAAGGACCTTTGGCTCTCTCTACAACGGGCCTATGCTCCTCACTCTTCATCTAGTGAGTATACCCTTAAAACACAGCTTCTCAAAATCGAGATGAAATCTGATGAAGCAGCCTCTACATACCTTCTACGTGCTCAAGAATACTCAGATGCCCTAGCCAATATTGGTGAACCTGTCAAAGAGAAAGACCTTATTATGCTTGTGATCTCTGATCTTCGCAAGGAATACAATGGGCTAAAGTCTACTCTCATGGCTCGACAAGTCCCCACCTCCTTCCAAGAGCTCCGTTGTCTTCTCGTTGATTATGATTTTATGGTGAAGAAAAGTATACCCGCGGTTGCACCCGTACAAGCCTTCGCTACCACCTCTTCCATCCGCTCTATTCCTACGACTACACCTCCGGATACGCTACAAACAATTCAACAACTTGCCTCTCAGCTGGGTTTTCAACTTAACCCAGCCCCTGCTTCATCGCATCAAGCCTTTTATACCAACCGTCCTTCGTCTTCTTGAGGTTGCACTTCAAATAACCGTTGTGGCCGAGGCAACTACACTCAACCATCAGGAGGCACCCGCAACAACCAATTTCCTTAGGCATCTTCACAAAACACGGTGTAAGGTACCTGCAACCGGTGTGGCATCGGGCATATTCCTTCCTAATGCCCTAACCGAGACCAGACCACTATCCGCTCTCGCCAACAGCCAACTATGCTGTCAATCGCTCTCAGTCTACCACGTGGCTTCCCGACACTGGTTCCAGCAATCATGTTTCTCATGACGTTTCCTCTCTTGACAGCCACACACCCTATTTTGGTGAGGACTCGCTTCATGTTGGCAATGGTATGGGTCTACCTATTTTACATATTGGTTCTACTCGTTTCTATTCTCCTTCAAAATCTTTTACTTTATCCAATAGTCTTCATGTTCCTGAAATCAAAAAGAATCTTCTTTTCGTTCAAAAATTTTATCTTGACAACGACGTTTTCTTTGAATTTCATTCTTCTTTTTTTGCTATGAAGGACAATACTACCAAAACTACCCTCCTCACACGTCCAAGTAACAACGAGCTCTACTCCATCATCCTTCCATCTCTTCAGAGTCTTCCTAAAGTTGCGTTCACTACTTTCAAGGCTTCATCTGGCATTTGCACCAACGGCTAGGGCACCCTCATATACAACTTTTTAATTTTATGTGTTCTAAGTATTGTCTCCCTATTTCTAATAAAGTTTCTGATAGTTTTTGTAAACCTTGTCATATTGGGAAGTCTTCTAAACTTCACTTAACTTCTTCCAATTTTAATAGCAAAAATATTTTGGATCTTCTTGTTTGTGATGTTTGGGGTCCAACACCTATGACCTCCTTTGATGGTCACAATTACTTTTTACTGTGTGTTGATGATTTCACTCGTTTTATGTGGATCTTTCCTCTTAAACGCAAATCTGATGTTTTTTGAGGTTTTTAAACAATTACTTGGACTCTTGTACCTCCTGCATCTAATATGAACATTGTTGATTGTAAATGGGTATACAAAATTAAACGGGATCAAACAGGAGCTATTACACGATACAAAGCTCGTCTTGTGGCTAAAGGTTTTCACCAACAACCCGGGATTGACTATCATGACACGTTTAGTCCGGTTGTCAAGTTCACCACTGTTCGAGTTGTTCTTTCTCTTGTTGTGTCCAACAACTGGCCCCTTCGACAGTTGGATGTTAAAAATGCTTTTCTTCACGGTGATCTTAATGAAATGGTATACTTGCGCCAGCCTCCAGGTTTTGTTGGCCCAGATAAACCTAATCATGTTTGTCTTCTTCATAAGTCTTTATATGGACTAAAACAAGCTCCATGTGCCTGGTTTCACTGTTTGTCTAAGGCTCTTTACAGTCTTGGCTTCAAAGGATCTCGTACTGATCCTTCTCTTTTCATATTGACAGCTCAGGGTACGCGAATTTACATGTTGGTTTATGTTGACGATATCATCATTACAGGAAACAATCAAGGCGCTATTGATCAGATTGTTCGCAGCCTGAGTCAGACCTTTGCTCTTCAAGACATGGGAGCTTTATCTTATTTTCTTGGCGTTTCGATTGCTTATTGTGGAACTGGCCTCTTTCTCTCTCAAAAGCAGTATATGTTGGACATTTTAAAATTTGCTTGTCTTACCGAGGCTAAGCCAGTTAGCACCCCTCTTCCTACGGGTGCTCCTTTGTTTCTTGGTGACAGTCCTCTTTTTGACAATCCTGTTCGGTATCGTCATGTAGTTGGCGCTTTGCAGTATGTCACTTTATCCAGACCCGACATCTCTTATGCAGTCAACAAAGTCTGTCAGTTCATGCATTCTCCAACTGTCAACCACTGGTCTGTTGTCAAACGGATTCTTCGGTATCTTCCTGGTACCGGTACCTTTGGTCTCCGTCTTACACCATCTCGTGACACCACCATTCATGCCTACGGTGATGCAAAATCTATGATTACCGCCTTTTCTGATGTTGATTGGGCTGGGTGTCCGGATGACCGTCGATCCACCGAGGAAACAGAAGACCGTCTCTCGTTCATCCACCAAGGTTGAGTTCAAAGCCTTAGCTGATACTGTTGCTGAGGTAACCTGGCTTGAATCTTTATTACCAGAACTATGCATCCCGGTTACTACAATACCGATTTTATGGTGTGACAATCTTGGTGCCACTTATCTGTCTGCTAATCCTGTTTTCCATGCTCGCACGAAACATGTTGAGGTCGACTTTCATTTTGTTAGAAAGAAAGTTGCTGCTAAGAGACTCTCCGTTCAGTTTATATCCACGGATGATCAGATTGCTGATATATTTACTAAGCCATTATCTTCACAAAGATTTGAGGGGTTACGGTCCAAGCTTCAAGTCCTTACCCGGCCTTAGCTTGCGGGTGAATATTAGACAGATTATTATGAGTATAGGGTTGAATGTGTGTGTGTGTGTGTGTGTATATATATCGTATAATCATATATTCATTCAATAATACAACTTATTGATCACGTTATCTCATGTGAGGCATATGAAGGTCCTGGAGCAATTTCATCCACACTTTGGCATAATCATCCTGCTAATTTTGTTTCTTGTAAGTTGTGAAAAGCTAAGCTCTTACATGTTTTCTCACACTTGTCAACTTGGCAAACACATTCGACTTCTATTTAGACCTATATCATTGTTACTTTTTTGTATATATGGACATCTATTTCTAGCCATACTAGATTCAAAGATTATGTTATCTTCTTCATAATAATTCTCGGTTTTGTTGGGTATATCCTCTTCAACTGTATATAATTCAGTTTGAAGGAGATGAAGAGTGGCTTCTTTGAATGAAATAAAAACTAATTAGTCCACCATGTGATAAGCCCCAAATTAGCCTTGATTGGATTTAGTAGATTTGCTTTATTAGAAGTTTCAGGGGTAGTTTGGCCTTTATAGGATTTTATCTGTTATTGGTTATGTGGGAGCACTAACCTTGTCCCACGTCTGTTTTTGGGACCATTTCCCTGAGTCTTGTTTAGTATTTATCCCCCTGTAGGATTTTGTTTTGAGTAGCTAAGAATTAATTTGTAAGAGAACATTGTTCTTTTGGAGAGACTCACCTCTAGAATTGTGAGAAACTATCTTTATGAATATTATCAAGAATTTCTGTTAGTGTGAGCTTTACAATGCCTGGGATTATACAATAGATTTAACAAGGGTCTATCAATTGGTATCAGAGCATTTCATGTTGGGGAAGAAATGATAGCAAAGAGGATAGACAATTAGGATGAAGATGGGAGAAAGATGGAAAATGAAGAACAACAACAATCCCTGTGGATTCAGCAACAAGAAAAGAGATGAAGATCATCCAACAAGAGCTGCAAGAGATTGTGAAGAAAATGGAGATCCATCATCAGAACCAGATAAACAAAGAGGAAGAGACAGAAGCTGAGATAGCTAAATGGAAAAAGATTTACCATTCAGGGGAAGGAATGGAAGCTGAGAAAGCTAAATGGAAACAGCTTTACTACTCTACCTTGGAAAAGGAGGATGGAGTCCGTGACAGCCACAACAGATCACCACCACAACATCCACCGACTAACAAGGAAGAAGAAGCATCATCAAAACTTTCTGATTCGGAATCGGAATCGGAATCCGAGTCAACACCGCAGCTTCCACGACCAATGTCACTGCCGTATACACCATCGCTATTGCCACCACCGTTGTCACCACAACTATCGGGATTTGAAGCAAATGGCGAAGGAATGACAGGTCCAATTTTGCAACAAGAAGAATCGCACAAGAAACAGAACATCCTTGACGAGATGAATCCGGATTGTGCGATTCTGGTACCAGACCAATCTTCAAAGAGAGGAGACGAGCAGTGCTTGGCTATTTCTCAGCTCAGAAAGAAGACAGACTGCAAACGGAGCGTCGTTATGACGGCTCCGTTAAATGGAATGTCTGACCACGTAATATTAGGTCAAGTGCTAAATGGGCTTAATGAACACATTAGGGATGAAATAAGAATTTTGTGCCCACGTGATCTGGACCAAGCTATGAAATGGGCAATTAAGTTAAAGGATAAAGAAAGCCCAGGCCTGCAAAAGTCAGTAACGACTAGAAACCCTGCTCCCATGGCGATCTCTCCACTTTTCACGTTTTCTTTCGTCTCCTTGCCACTAAATCTATCCGCTCCGAAGGTAAAATTAATGCTTCTAATGCTCACCTGTAGAAAATTGAGATGCTTTTCTTTCCCCCACCAACCATATCACACAAATCCTCCCTCAAATTGTATCCAACTGCCTCGCACAAACACTTTCCATTGTTGCCCACTTGATCGAACGTTACTATGCATCATCAGCAGTACATGCCACCAATTGCACGGTTGTTACCCAATTTGATATTCACAATGAGAAACCGAATCAATCTTTTGAAAATGAAGCTCATTATGTTTTGCTGATGAGGCTGCAAACTACCACAGAGGAAGTTCATGCAATTAAGGCATAAAATGTGTATTATCTTCCAAAGTGTATGGAATTCTAGGTGCAAAATCATATGTGGGAAATAGATTGAAGAAGTGTTGTGGGGGAGGAGTTTTTGTTCGTGGAAAAAGATAGTGGCAACGCCAGTGGTATTTTTGATAAAAGATGTTCAAAAGGAAAAGTTTATGAAGATAGCTCAACAAAATACCATTTCATGTACTACTAAGGAAAACAAACTCCAACCTGTGAATTCAAAACTTGACATTCTGGACAAGTGATGTAGTTGGAATAAGAGGGGAGAAGGTCGACAAACTACAAGTGAAATCAGTAGAAATGAGTGAGCAATTTGAGGTTATGGATTAGAGCCTGACATGAATGAAGCGGATGAATATGGTCAAGTGAACAATCTAAAACCGGATCCAAAAAAAAATAAAACCAAGTCTGGAAATGCAATGAGGATTCAAATAGGGTAGTGGATTCGATCCGCAACATCACTGACAATCCAAGTAACTCACAAAGTTACATCACCCGGATAATCAATATCTTTCTGAGGTTGTTGATTTTGTGAATCCTAACAAGCAAGAAGCAAGCATGGGTTGTCTGGAACCACATGACCTATGGGGACCTCCTGTGAAGGCATTGGGTTTTCCCATGAGCATACAAAGAACAAGGAAGACTACACCAAGATTTTTGAAACGTTTTCTGAGAATCTAAAGTTTGGAACTCCAAAGGATTCAATACGCAAGACCAACCTCACTGAATTGCTTAGATATGAAATGACAATCTTGAAGGATTTATGTAACCAGGATGAAAGATGGACAAAATGACATCTATTACATTAATAGTGAGAGCAAGAAGGTTGTCGACAGCTCTGGGTTCATTTCATTGAGAAGCGGAATAAGAAAGAGTATGTGGTTCTGTCAATGGTTGATGCCATCAATGAGTATGATTTTGTACAGTCGAAAGAACTTGAGGGGAAGACACCTGTTTTAACCGCCAAAGTTTGAAGAGCCTAAAGAGAAACATCTCACAGAGGAGTTTGATAAAGAGAAGTTTGAGGGATTTTTCGTTTCTTCTCTTGGGCCACTGATGTTATATTTGCATGGTTGGTTGCTTCAGGTTTACCCTTCAATATGTTGGCCACTACACTTGAACAAGAATACAAAGGTTACCCATTCTTATCTTCACCTTGAGGACAAGGTGAAAGTTTGGGCTGCTGGTATTGATAAGCCCCAACTTAGCCTTGATTGCTTTTAGTAGATTTGCTTTATTATAAGTTTCAGGGGTAGTTTGGTCTTTTTGGGATTTTATCTGTTATTGGTTAGGTTATGTGGGAGCACTAACCTTGTCCCGGGTCTGTTTTTGGGACCACTTCCCTGAATCTTGTTTAGTATTTATCCCTCTGTAGGATTTTGTTTTGAGTAGCTAAGAATTAATTTGTAAGAGAACATTGTTCTTCTTTTGGAGAGACTCTCACCTCTAGAATTGTGAGAAACTATCTTTACGAATATTATCAAGAATTTCTGTTAGTGTGAGCTTTACAATGCATGGGATATACGATAGATTTAACAAGGGTCTATCACCATGTGGACAATATATGACAGCAGGCAACTAAGCATCTAAAACCTATAATACCTGCTATAAGAGGCCAAAATGAAGCATTTTCAACAAACTTGTTACTTGGCTACCCTCACAGACATTAAAATAACTAAATGAGAACATACAAAATAGTGGGCAATCAAAAATGAGCAAAACAAGTGTTGGCAGGTCCACCAAACTGCTCATTTTTTATTTATTTTCACTTTTATCCTTTCCTTTATAAGACACTGAATAGCCTTTGGTGGTTTGAAGAGGGAGTTAGATGTAGTGTGTACAAGTAGTACCTTGGCTGCCTCAATTTCTGTTTCTTGAACGAGGATGTCATACGATAATGGACGCATCATGCACATGAAAAATAGTTCTGATTTCCCAAAGAATACATTGTGCTCTTGACTGCCAATTGCATCAATTTGTATGCATAAATATCACAAGCTACAGTACCCAAATGTTGATAGTGCCATTTTTTAGTTGCTATTTATTTATCTTTTGCTTTTTCTTCAACAATAATGGTGTTCAGATCAGAATATATATATATATATATATATATATATATATATATATATATATATATATGCATTAAAAAAAAAAACTTTAAAAAAAAAAAAAGTTTATTTTGTATACCTGAATGCTAGTACTTCAACAAACTCTGTATCGATCTGAAAGAGTTAAAACCATCAACCTTATGTAAGAATTCCATTTTAATTTTGAACACAGAGATCAGGGATAGTATCAAAATGCACATCAGAAGCTCAAAACTTACTCCTGTTTCTTCTTTGACCTCTCTAACCACCCCTACAGAAATATCCTCACCCTGTAGAATGGACTCTCGTCAGATTATTAGAGAAAAGCACTGTAACCTAATTTGAAAAAAATTAATGAACTTCTGTAGAAACATACACCTCATGAATAATTCCAGTAGAGACCTTCCAAACGCCTCGTAGTTGCCCCATCTTCTCCTGGACAACAAGCATCTACAAACCAAAAAAAAAAAAAAACATCTAGTCAGCTAATCTAAAAAAAATCCAAATATACATTTTCTAGGACTTTTTGGCTACTAAACAGTATATAGTTTATAGAAAGGTGGGAATAAGTAGGATTAGAGAGGGTTAAGTCATAAGTGTTTCCCTTTCAGGCCAATCAGGAACTCGATACCCGCCCAATTAGTGTTGTGTGTGTGTGTGTAAAGTATTTTTAGTTTTCCATTCTCTCCCAATAAAAAAATTAGATTTTTGTTATTGAGAAAGATGTTAACTGAGAGAGAGAGTGAAGGAAAGTAAGGGAGGAAGGAGGGTGGAAGAGAGAAAAAGGGAGAGAGTACTACTTTTAGATTTGATCTTAAAACTCAACCACATGAATCATCTTTGTGGTAGTGGTATAGAAGAAATTATAAGTTAGATGGTCCAGGGACGAAAAGCATGCAAAACTCTCATTTAAGGGAGTATCCGAGTAATAAAAAGATGAGGCGATCTGATTAAATAAAGCACCATAATAGCAAAACAAACAAAAGAAGAAATATAGAAAGTTGGTGTAATAATAGAATATACCTCTCGCCTATCATTTAAGACAATAGCTCCAACACGTGCTATATGTGAAGCATTTGCAGGGATTGGATTTATAGTTTTAGGAATCCAGTAAAGGAGCATCAGGTACTTGGGTTCAGCATGGTGGTACACAAAACCCTCCTGCAAGTTCCAATAACAATGTATTTCAGGAAGGGAAAAAAAAAAAAAAAAATTATCTAATCAGTAATCACCATGTATGACTATGACCTTAACATAGAATGATATCAGTTTCTTCTCATAAATTTATCCAACAGTCATTAGATAGTAGATACCTACCTTAACTGCAGTCTCCACAAGATTCGATAGCTCAATTGGCAGTTTAATCCAAACACCCTTCTTGCCCTGTCAAACCCAAACCCATCTCAGAATTACAAAAATGGAAAGCTAATAAAACCCCAACCCAACAAGGTGTACCTGTGATCTCCAATGCGCCATTGAACTTTTAAGCAGAGTACGAAAGACATCTGAGACCATATGCTCCTTCATCTCTACCATCACACCTCCAAACTCATCATTGCTTGCAGGTAGTTGTTGGATATCATTTTCAGCTCCATTTTCAATTGTCAATTGGTCCATCAAGGTATCAAACCAACAGGCCTACATGAATTCTTACACTCCTACTTGGAAAGATACTTCAAAATCCAACCCCAGTATTATCAACATAATTCAACATGCCTGCACAAATCCTTACACAAAAGTATTTGAAAGTTCAACCATCCAGCCATTGAATAGACAACAAGGATTCTAAAGGAAGGTAATTCTCACAAATTACCCTTTTACTTAACTACAACAACAGGTGTAATTCACATGCGATTGATTGAGCAACTAATGACTCTTCCCACAAGCAAACAAAGATATTGCCAAACACTTCTGACTTCACACTAACTACTAAACATGTTGATGTTGCTTTTGTATTTAATCACAAATAATCCTAGTGTTTTTGTAGTTAAGTGAGGCTGCTTGTTCAAATTATTCTTAAATTTACCCAAATCATTTCTTACTGTTCCTGCGGCTGCCCCAACCACACACATACACAGAAACTCAATGTAATCTAAAAATTAGTTACTAATGCGAGCAATGATTTCAGGGATATGAGTAGACACTAAGCCACATCCAGAATTAGAACTGCAACATGAACTTCGAACAGTAGAATAAAAGCGGGGTCGGGGATACCTACCAGTAAGACGATAACAGGAACGACAAGAGATGCATTGTAGATCGCAATGCAGGAATGGAGGATTAGGGTTAAGCGACTAACACTAATATTTATGTGCCGAATGAAGCTATGAAGGAAGGATTATTGCAAAAAATTCCAACGTTATGTGTAGCCGGTACTAGCCTCGTAGGTTCCTGTAGCTGTTGAAGAAACTCGAAGAGACATTAGTGCAAAATATTCCAACGTGGGCCTGGCTGGGCTCTAGCTGTTAGGACTAGGAGACAAGTTTTCGTGGATAAGAGTCCAAGACGAAGGTGGCCACTGACTAGTCGTGCGTCGTGCGTCGTGCGTCGTGACTCGTGACTGGTGAGTCTGCTGTTCGACATGGACCTAACTCGTAAGAGCTGACGAGGAACCAGACATTGAGCAAAAGTAGTGGCACAAAATAAAGGGAAAATGATTTAGGAGGTAACCACCTCTTATCCGGTTAATACATGTTTTAATCGGTAACTTAAATGGAAAATGATTTAGAAGGGTAACCACCTTTTATCCATGTTTTAACCGGTAACTCAAAGGGAAAATGATTTAGAAGGGTAACCATCTCTTATCCGTGTTCACATATTGGCAACTTCTTATTTTTTGTACATAAGAAAACAACTAACTTGTTTTAACTGTGTAACATCCCAAAAATCATGAACAAAATTTTCGTTTTTAATTTAATACTAAAACCATAATTGTCAAACCATTAATTTAATACTCCGGCATCGGACCCCGCTCGGTATACAGATCTGTCTCTCTTAAGTCTCGCCCACTAAACACATGCAATCATATAACATACTAACACATAAAGAAACATACTCTGCCGTATCCCAATCCTAAGAAACATACTATGCTAATAATGAGATACGAAACTTCATCCGTACTCAACTAGTTCCAGCCAGGGCTTCAGCAGTGCAAGGTGAGACTCCTCACTGTGTGAATGGGTCTAAGGCCACAATGTCAGCCCATGTAGTCTATGAGTGAGAAGACCCGGGGGTTAGCCCTAGGCATTGGATGCTAGTATGTTATTCCAGACCAAGGTCCGATGTCGAGCGGGTGCCCGAGGAATGTTTGCATGTTAGATTATACTTGTTGTCTGTGTGACACTTGTATGTGCCTGGTAAGGAGGTGAGTTTGGGCGAGGTCCCATATCTCATCACTAGCTGAGTACGGACGATGTTCCGTATCTCATTATTAGCATAGTATGTTTCTTAGGACAGAGATATAGTAGAGTATGTTTCTTTATGTGTTAGCATGTTATATGATTGTATGTGTTTAGCGGGTGGGGCCCGGAGACAAGCGGGGCCTAAGAGAGACAGACCTGTATACCGAGCGAGACTCTATGCCAGGCAGGGCTTGATGCTGTGCGGGGCCCGATATCGGAGTATTAAATTAATGGTTTGACAATTATGGTTTTAGTATTAAATTAAAAACAAAATTTTTGGTCATGATTTTTGGGATGTTACACAGTTAAAACAAGTTAGTTGTTTTCTTATGTACAAAAAATAAGAAGTTGCCAACATGTGAACACGGATAAGAGGTAGTTACCCTCCTAAGTCATTTTCCCTTTGAGTTACCGGTAAAAACAGGTATTAGCCGGTAATATTGGTATAATTTAAACAGTTAAAACAAGTTAGCTGCTTTATCATTTACAAAAAATAAGAAGTTGTTAATATGTGAACACATATAAAATGTAGTTACCCTCCTAAGTTATTTTCCCCAAAATAAAAGAAGCGGCGTATTTTGCCAAGAGTTGTGACCCTTTAACAACTAATTTTACCCCTACCTCTAATCAATCTTTTATATTTAATTTAACATTATTTTTTCCCCTTTTTTCTTTTTTTGTTTTTTCTTTTATTTATTATTATTATTATTATTATTATTATTATTATTTTCTATTATTTTTTTATTATTATAAATTTCGATAACCATATAAAATTCGGACAACAATATAAATTCGGACGACATTATAAAATTCGAACGACTATATAAAATGGAACAAAAAATTAATTTTGTTTTCAATCCACATAACGCACTACACAAATGTAATAACAAACCAATTAATATATCCGTGATAAATAAAGACAAACTTTGTTTTTGTTCTGTTTTATATCGTCGTTCGAATTTTATTATTTCGTCCAACGTTATAATGTCGTACAAATTTTAAAATTTCATCTGGATTTTAAAATGTTGTCCGAATTTTATATGATTACCAAAATTTATAATAATAATAATAATAATAATAATAATAATAATAATAAATAAATAAATAAGAATTAAAAACAAAATAAGGAAAAAACAACAAAAAAACAAAAAAGTACATCGGGATGGAATTAGAAAAAAAAAATATTTATAGCATTACCCTTGTGCAAAACGGGATGTTATTCACATCCTTTTAAAGGTAAAAACCACTTTATAAAACCACTTTTACTAGATTAAAACTCAATTTGATATGTCCTAAGATATGATTATATATTACAAAATTAACAAATATATATATATATATATATATATATATATATATATATATATAATTTTGAGTTCCTATATAAACAGTGTCTGGCCAGGGTTCCTATATAAACTCCACCATAGTCACCGCCTCAGCTTCTTCTTCACTTTGTTTCCATCGTCTCACTTCTTGATCCTTCCACCGTCTCATCTTCGAACTTCTCCACCGACTCTCTCACCCAATATTTGTTTCCACTGCTTCTCTGCTACTTCTTCACCACTTCTCGAACCTTTTTTTCCCACCGTTTCATGTTATCTGTAGCTCCTCCATCAAACGACGCCATAGATTTTTCAATAGACTCCTCCCTTTTGGGTTCCTTTTACTTTCACTTGTGATTCCCTCAACGATGCTTTGATGAGACTAGATCGGTCACACTAGATGAAGAAGTCCAAGTCATGTTCATGTGATTTTCGATCTACCGAGGAGTAGACCCCTTCATGCACAGTGCAGTTGTTGATTTCTCCGACTTTGAGTTCGTCAAAGTAGAAATATACAGTGCAATTGGTGAGTATTTTGAACTTCTACTTCTTCTTACGAGATTTTGAGAGGATTCGATATCCCCCTGTATTTCGCCGCCATCGTCCTCCATGTTTTTCTTTTGCTTCTTCTTTATTCTTTGTGTTTCTTTTTGAATCAGACGATGTTATTCAACGATGTGTTGTAAGTTGACGATAATGATCGACAAAAGGGAGGGGGATGGTCCTTAATTTCCGTTACGGATGCAGGATGACCAACGATGAATTGGGGAGGAACAAAATCAATTTCATAGATATAGACTCCTAAACCTTTCATCGCCAATTATAAAAGATAATATTTTTCTCCTTTTAATCATAGTATATTTAATACTTAATTCCGTTATACAAGATCTACCAATTGACTTTCTTATCAAAACAGCCCAACAAACAATTTGGAAGGTCAAAAGCTTTGTTTTGAGATTGCAAGAACAACCGCAAGTAAATTCTTTCATTTCAGATTTACTACTTACTTGTGTGTCGAAACATTTATCTTATTTCCACCATTAAATCCATATTAATATCATCATTCAGAGGTTAAAAGATGATTTTTTTTCTCTTACCTTAAGCTTGAATTAGACAACTTTAATTTGCTTTATTAGAAAATGAGGTATGATTTTTTTTCTTACCCTGTTCTTAGTGATTTTACTATTACTATTGCAGATTCTGAATATGATAAAAAATGACCTTATGAATTTACATTTAAATCATTAAAACTTATAATAATATTATCATCCTATTGGAACATAAGACATTATCATTTCGATAGAAATAATAAATATTATATGTGAACATAAGACATTAGCATTTCCATCTATTGCTCTACTTATGTTTATGGTTTCCATTCCGGAAAGTTCTTATTATGTTTCGTGCTTGGTTGAATTCAATAAATTGGAGAAACTGGACCTCTCATTTACCGATTTGTCGTCACAAAGAAAAAAAAGCACCGCATTGACATACTATTGTGCTATGGTACCCTATGTTATTGCATAACTCATATAACTCATCCTTATATATATATATATATATATATATATATATATATATATATATATATATATATATATATATATATATATATATATATATCCACAATTACAAGCTTGCTTCAATTGAATGGAAATGGAATTTGAGATTCCATTCCATGACATGTTTGGTTGCCGAATGGACGAAATATAATTTTATTGTCATTTTTCAAATTTCAAGCTTGGTGGATTTCACCCTTCCTTGAGACTTGAGATGTAACATCCCAAAATACGACCCAAAAGTTTTTGTTTAATCATTACTAAAATCATTATATCAATACCATAAAATAAGACTCATGCGTCAATATCTCAAAACCATAACACGTATCACAAGAAAACTGTATCAGGACTGAATCAAAACATATCAATGAAAAGCTAAATCAACTCCCAGGACAAAATGAAGTTGTGGTGTGTGCGATGCCATCATCCCGAGCTCTTCCCTTTACTTGTGGAAGTACCTGAAACCAAAACTGAAACTGTAAGCACGAAGCTTAGTGAGCTCCCCCAAACTACCACATACCATACAATAATGTATAACACATACTGGGCCTTGCCCACTGCATCAGACCGGAGTCCGGAAATTGCATCGGACCGAAGTCCGGAACTAACCAGGGTCTTGCCCTCTGCATCGGACCGAAGTCCGGAACTAACCAGGGTCTTGCCCTTTGCATCGGACCGAAGTCCGGGACTAACTGCATCGGAACGAAGTCCGAAACTGACTAGGACCTTGTCCCCTGCATCGGACCGAAGTCTAGAACTAACTGCATTGATCGAAGTCCGAAAACTAATTGAGCATAACATAGCATAACATAAACATATTAACTAGCATAAACACGTAAACTGCATACTGCATCAGTCGTAGCCTGGAACACATAACACATAAACCCTGTCTAAGCCACGAAGGCATCAAAAATTCTAACTGTTGCATCGGACCGAAGTCCGAAAACTACTACTAGTTAAACGGGTCGACATTGGGCCTTAGACTCGTTCCTACTAGAAGGAAACTCACCTCGTGATGCTAACTGCTGAACTCCTGAATGAGAAATCCCTGACTGCTGCTCCGGCTGCTTCCTAGCTATCATGGGAAATAAAATACTAAATCAGAATAGGGATTCTCCTATGGGTAAAATGACCATTTTACCCATGCTATGGCATGGGTCACAACATGGCCCAAAACCCTCAATTCCTTCTAAGTCCATCCATGGCCCCACTAATGGCTCAATTTGCTCCATTGGGCCCAAAGCCCTTTATTGGGCCTTACTTAAGCCCAATACTAATCTTTGGCCCATAACAACTGAATTCTAAAGGCCACTAAGGCCCAAAGACCCTAAGTCCAAAACTCAACCCACACCGAG